TGTACTTAATTTTCCTAATCTGTGGTTGTTGACGAGGCTTTGGTAATTGAAATTTTCACCATTTAACTCATCTTTGACACTTTCTTCCTGCTTCAAAAAGGATTGTCATTTAATTTCTTTGGATATTTTTCTTATAGGAGTATTTTCCTCCAGTTTGGGTTCTATTTTCTCCCATAGATTAGGGTAGATGGAAATGCTCATTTCAATTTGAAGTATTCTTTCAGGAGATTGTGGAGTGTCCAAAATGGCAAACGTCAGTCCTTCTAGGACTGATACTTCCACTGATACCGACACTGAAGACAAAAACATGAAGGTGATGTCTAATATGCTTTCATACAATATGTTTTGTTCTCACATTTTGTATACATAAATCAACATATACATTTCAATTGCTATACAATTGATTGTATACATTTTTAGTTGTGCACATTTCCCACATTCCAAGTGATCCAAGTTATCTGGGCCTTATGAAAACAATTTTTGAAATCAATTTTTGATTATATCAATTATTTCAGAAACAATTTTTGAAATCAATGGCTTAAATCTTGTCTACGCTTAGTTTGTAACAAACTTTGTACAACTAGATTAATTCTGTTTTTCATGTATTAGAGATCCAAGTGATCTGGGGCCTTATGAAAACTGTTTGAGAAGGCTAAAGTCAAGTCGGACTTATGAATTTTGTTTTGCTTGTTAATATGACTATATCCATGAAAATTTTGTGTTGATTTTGCTGTTTATATGACAGTTTCTCTTGGTCCCTTAGTTTTTTCTTTCTATTATCGAAGAATGCAATTTAGTTACTATTCGTCATAATTAGTTAATTATTCAGCCACTTTTATGATTTCGTAAAGTTTGTTTTGTCGTCTTGTTGTGCCTTATAAAATGTTGCTATCGAACAAATTTTAGATATTTATTTATAAAACCATGTCTCATGATTTATGTCTTGGTTGAATTGTCTCCAGGTATTGTGAATATGAGGATATCTTCTAAGTGTCTTTTGAACCTTTTCGCAAAATTTTCAGATGATTTGTGTGCAATGCTATAGCAGTTTATGGAAAAATTGAAAAATGTGGGTGGCGTGAAAAAGGTTATTTTTTTATATTTTTTCTCTCCCCTAAAATGGGGAGTGACGTCAATGTTTTATGAAAGAAAGAGAATGGCTCTCTTTCTCCTTTTTGCTTCTTTTCATAAACGACAATCTTCCCAATCTTTACCTTGTTCTTAATAGATCGACTGCCAGAAGAACCTCAAATATTTGACTTGATGCGTGCTTCTCTTGTTGTATTTCCCTATAATAGTAGCAGAGTTACTTGCAAATATACTATAATGGTGATGAACGGTTTTCAGTGGCGATTTCTGGACTGCAGACCTTTGCTTTTGTCGTAGTGTTAGCTGGACTTTTTTTTTT